CCCCTACAGTTGACTGTAGTGCAATTTAGGGTTTTGACTGTGCAATTTTGAGCTGAATGCCTTGAAACTTGATATGGGGATGCTTGACCATGTTTGTAAGCATATGAGACTTGATTGAGCCTTTGAAAACTTCCTTTTCTTGATCAGACTCAAAACCCTAATTTTGACTGTATGGGAGACTGTTGCACTGCACAACCCTTGGGGAATTTTTTAGCCTGGCTTGGCAATTTCTTGAGGAATATGGGAGGGCAAATTTTGGGGTATAACAGAACTGATCAACATATGTTTCTTGGGGTACATGGGCAGTTTTCAGGAATTTTACCAAGGCCTTTGCATGCGCCTCAGAACATAGTAGTAAAGCCAACATGGAAATTTTAGATGGCGTCTTCCCTAGTTGATCGACTACATTTTAGGGGAAGTCAGAAGTTCTGGTTGCTGAGGGAATTTGGAAGTTCTGATGTTGCTGGAGGTTTGGAAGTTCTGACCCAGGATGGGAAAAATGTCAGGGGATAAGCATAAAAAGGGTGTTTCTGGGACTAGAACTCATGACCCTTAACACAAATGTCTTATGCGTGCATTTTCTACCACTGGGGTGGCCATACATCCGGTATTAGAAGCAAAAACATAAGAATATAACATAAAGTAATTTCAGAGGATGAATCCCATCTCTTTCTTCATACTAGCCAGAACATCTGCAACTTAGTCATTTCTTAACAGAACAAAAAACACAAACATAACAATTATAGCAGGTTCCCAATATGGTTCAGAAATATAAGATATCAAGACTGTAAATCAGAAACAAGCATATATCTGCTAAACCTAGTTTCCTTAAGAAGTTCTGAACTAATTTACTCCCTACTTAGGCATACAAATATGTGAAACCTCAGAATACGTACAACATCAGAATCATGATGGCTACATTGTATTTTTGAACATGCAAATATGACAATGCCTAAATAATATGATGAGAATCAGCAGAAACTTACCTTGCAGCTAGAAAATAATCTGTGAGCTGGAGTCTGGTTCTGACCGCTTGTGATGTTCTGAACAGCTTCCTCACGTGTTCAGCAGGCTGGAAATCTCAACTTGGGGCTACGAATGGTTAGAAGATTCTGGAACAACCAATGACCAAAGTTATGACTTCTTTGAGGTGGATATATATGGAGAGTGCATTACAGTCTGAACACAGAAGTTAGGATAGCTTCTAATATGTAAATCAGAAACTGTATGGATGGTGTTGGTCAAGAAACACTTGAGGAAAAATGGAGTTTGAATGCAAGAATCAAAAGCTAATAGGTTTTGTATTTTGTGTTTGCAGTTTTGGATTCTTGGAATTTTAGCAAGGGTTCAAGGCTTTTTCTTTTTCAAATTTTCGACCTAGTTACAGTTGCCAATGAAGTCCAATTTATAGGCAAAGGTTTAGTCTCCTAGAGAGGTCAAGGGGTACAACCATCATATGCTAGGTGCTGACTTGCTCTTGAAGTAGGTTCAAATAGGTATGGTGGTTAGCAGCTTTAGCAGCGCCTAAGCCAGATTTGTAAGCAAGAATTAAGGAAAGGCAACCTCAAAAGCAAAGCAACGCATGGGCCCAGCACACTCTTGTACAAAATTTTGCTTTTCCAAGATAGTAATGGTACTTCTATGCCACAGGTGGGGATATCCTTTGGATAAAGACCCAAAAGTGGTTGTGAGCATTAAATGATGATGAGATTTATCAAACCGAAAATCCTACAATGTGATATTCTGCATCATTGCTTAATTCTGGATCATAAGTTCAGCTTCAACGTAACTTAGAATAGACATCCAACTTCTAATCTTTGTATCTCCTTGCTCCAGCATGTTTTGAAGGAGTTCTCAGACTTTCCAGGAAGCTTGCAACACGCTTTGTAACCTTATTTGAATTACCCTTGCAAACTCTGACTGAACCTTTGTGAAAACTGGCCCAGAAGTTCTGACCAAAATTTGTTTTGAAAGTGTCCAGAATTTGCTGAATGCTTCAGTTTCAGGGACGTGTCTTTGAGGATTTAACTTGAAATCCCAACATTTCTAGGAGAAGTTATGTTCTGTGATATTTTAGGTCTTATTGAGATCTAAAACTCTTGTGTTAGAAATTCTTCTAGAATCAGCTCGCATCATGGTGATAATTTGATCATAAGTTCTGAGTTTGTCATATTTCTTAAACACTTAGAAAAATCCTAAGTATTTAGAAATTTGACTTTTCCAAAGTAATTTTGACTTTTGAATTTCTTGATGAAACAAACTTCATATTTCAATATATCTTGATGAAATATGATCCTTGAAACTTGATTTTGATCCAAAAGTCAAGGTTTGACTTTTCAGTGCGTAAATGACCATTTTGCCCTTGTGAATGACTTTCTTGGAAAATTTGTAATTCAAGGCTCAGAATTTGGATGAAGCGAACCTGAGGGTCTAGTGTGATCCTTTGAGAAATGAGAGGGCAAATTTTGGGGTACAACAAAGGGTAAAGAGCTGAACAATTTTCATGTTGAAATGATTTTGAGATGATGCCTGAAAGATCACGTAAGAAGCCATGAAAGTTATGCAAACGACTCTAACTGAAAACTTAGAAAAAAATTCTAAGTTAAAGTCAAAAATACCACTTTGAGTGCTTGATTTCCAATGATAATATCTTGAGTTGTAGTTGAGTAAACGAGAAACTTCTTGAAGTAAAGTTGGAGAAAAAAAACTTGATTTATCACTTTTATGTTGATCACGAAACCAAATACAACTTGAATCATAGAGAAATATGGTTGGCAACATATGATGATGAACCTGATTGAGATGTTTCCAAATTTCTCTAAGTATCAAGATCCAAAAGTTAATGATCAGCCAACTTCCAAGCTCTATAACTCAAGAACCATGAACTTTTTAGAGATAAGCCCTCAAGGAAAAAAATGAAGTATGAAACTTCTTCTTTCATTTGATTACTAGTTTGTGAATTTATGATTAAAAATGGAAAAGTTAAGCCCCTTTGAAAAGTGGTAAATGAACATGAAAATCTCAAAAACTTAGAAAAAATTCCAAGTATTAAAAAGTCAAACTTGGTCAACTTTCTGATTTTCCTGATTTTATGGATTTCATTTGAACAAATCTCCACCAATGACCATATTTGACTTGAAAAACACGATGTTGACCTCAAAAAGTCACGAGTTGGCTTTAGCTTGCGCAATTGACTTTTCCCCCAAATCAAATGATTTGCAATTATCTGAACAATTGAGCTTCTTCTGAATAAAGGTGAGGGTCAATCTTCTAGGCATATATGCTTAGGAACATGTAAAATGTCATGAAATTAAGTTTTTCTCAAAGAATCAGTAAACTGATTTTATCACAAACCCTAATTTTCAGTCAAAGAGATAATAAACGAGTTCACAACTTCAAAACCCTAATTTCTTTGAGCATGATGGAGAATCTCTTGATCAAAGATGTCTTCTATAATGATAAGATGATGATGCTTCAATAATCTTGCTCACAGGAGGTGCCACACACTTCAATTGATCAAAACCCTAATTTTAGGAGATGGACAGGGGAAACATGATACACTTCAAGTCTTTGGCAAATTCAATCATCTAATGACATGATGGACATATTGGGATGTATTGAGGCATAAGAAGCCCTTGTAGCTTGAGTGAGCCATGATAATGAGGATATTGGACCCTCCTTGTACTGCGCAATCATCTTCTATTGCTTGAAGAAACCCATAAGACAAGAACACCTTGGTCCCACCTCAAATAAATGAATGCAATGTAAATGTATGTATGATGATGAAGCATAAGCTCTAAAGTATTATAAAAGTAAGAGGGTAAATATTTAGGTATAACACAACTGCTCCGTGATTCTCGGAGGGTGAAAAACCTGATCTTTTCAGGAGCATGATGACTCTGTGATATTCTGAGGATCGTTGACCACATATCCTTGGCGGGCACGTGGAGGAGACGTCCCCGACAGGAACGCGTGAGAGACGTTTCCTAACGGTCATAACAATTTGGGTCACTGTAGTGAACTTTCCTCGCAGCAGTGCTGGGCTGTCCTTGCCCAACAGGAAACCAAGTACAGGTCCAATCCACAACAAGTTATTGGGCCTTTCTTGCGTCAGCTGAACTGGACCTTGTCCGCAACAGATTAAGTACAGACCCAATCCAAAACACACCTAATCTATATCTCCATATTTTCAAGAAATGTTAAACACGGCTTCCCACTTTCACTTCTTCCTCACCGCCTCCTTTCAATGTCAATTTAGTCACACTTCCTCTTTTATTCTTGATAACATCTCTGACACTTTTCTCACCACCTTCTCTCTACCTTTCTCTCGTTATTTCTCAACAAAAAAAAAAAAACATTGGATAAACAATAAGATATAGTATTAAGTAGTTATTGAAGTTTTTTTTTTGTCAAGTCATTGAAGTATTTTTCAATGCATCAAATAGTAATGTGACCATCATCCTATCTCAAGTCTCAACTTCTAAACCACCAAGAATTAATTTGTTTGATAACTAGTATAGTTTCTATAAACACTATTTATATTTTTATATTTGAGTAGAAGAGAAAGCGATAGTTCAACATTAAGACAAATGTTCCACGTAAAACAAAAGATCAAGGGGAGGTTTTACTTAAAATCCATTTTTTTTTGTGATTTGTGAGTAAAACTTACAATTACTTGCAAGTTAGCACGCCAGCCGTATAATTCAGTTACGGAATGGCAGACACTTCTCCTAGTGAGTGAGCCAGAAACCTTTTCCTCTTCGTCACTTCATTTCATTCTTATATGCTTTTTCTTCATTCTTTTTTTAAATCTAATTTCATACGCATTCACCAACGAATCTCAAGGTACATTCTCTCGCTCACTCTCTTTTCATTCTTTTCATTTTTTAAACCTAATTTGATATTATTATTATATCAACTATCAATTTGTAGTGGATATGGCTGATATGTTTTTAATCATTGATTTTCAAGAATAGATCACAAATGTTCTAAGCTTTCTCATGGAAATGGAAGAACATCACTTCGTTGCACCGAAAAAATCAAACCTTACACCGAAGGCTATAATACACCAAAAGTTTGGCAAAACGGCTTGCTACACGGTAGAGGCGGTGAAGGAGGTTTCTCAAACTGAATGTCCAGGGTTATGCATTCCACAGACGGGACCATGCCTTTACCGTTGCACGTTGCAGCTTCCAGAACTTACGGTTGTGTCGGCGACGTTTACGAAAAAGAAGGATGCAGAACAATCTGCAGCAGAGATAGCTTTAGAGAAGGTATTACTCACTTCCCATCAGTATACAAATTATTGATAATAATGACTAATATCATTGTGCTTGTACTTAATTATCCTTTCGATTAGATCTCTCCCATTGAAGATTATTTGTAATTTTGTATTATATCTTCTATTTCAAGTGTTTACCTTGAGAGGATTATGACATTTTAACTTTCACAATGTTCCAATTATGAATTACTCTCTTGCAGCTTAGTATCACTCCAGAGACCATCGATCTTACTCCTCAGGAAGCACAGGAAAGTTTAGTTGCTCGCATCGCCTATCTGTTTTCAGAAAAAGTAGGTAACTTTTTCTTGTGTATCTAGTGATGCCTATTGTCAGTTACGGGTCTATATTGTTAATTCCTTCATTCCAGATTGTCTGATGGCAAGCAATAATTCTTTTAGAATTGGTCTGATCTTTGGAAGTTGTTGAACATTCATAGAATGAAAACATCAATTTTAGGAAGTTTATCATTCACTTTCTTTAGTTTTTTTTCCTGTTGCTTCTCTAATCGATTAGTATGCTATAATTTGCAATTACCCTTGCTGGTCATCACATTGAAAAATTAGTCAGAAGGAAGTATTGTTTTTTGGACTCTGGTGTTCCAGTATTTTGCGTGACTGTCAGTGAGTTTAAATTCAGTCTGATACCATTTTTGTTTTCCATTCAACAATTCTACAGTTTCTTACATCTGATCATCCACTCGGTGGTCACATTCGAGCTACTTTGAGAAGGAAAGGCAATCATTGTGGATCGATTCCTGTTTCTGTCATTGCTGTCAGCGACGCAAAGATTCTTAGTTTGTGTAAATTTATTAATCCTGAGGTGGAGTCAAATCCATTTTTGGTCCTTCCATACATAGTAAAGGCTGCTAGAAAGTTGTATGAGTTTCTTACTACCTCTGAGCAAAATATATGGATTAAAAAGCTTTGTCCATATCCACAAGATATTATAGAATCATTAATGCAAGAAGGTGGTTCACAAGAATGCATTCAGGTTAAGGCCATAAGCATTCCTAGTTCAATGGAAAAATGTATTGAAGCTGTGACTCTCTGTATGTCTTTAAGAGAGTACTACCTTGATATTATTGCAAATGAGCTTGGTTTAGAAGATGGTGCCATTGTTCTGATTTCAAGGTATGATGAATTTACAAAGAATTTCTTAAACTAGATAATTGCTTTCTAACTTGATCATGATCTTTGCTAATCAAATAGGAATATAGGTAAAGCTTCTTCTGAGACAAGACTGTTCTTTGCTGCTCCACAATCATATCTACTGGATCAATCTTTTATATCGGGAAATGGAAAAGAATCCATTCGATTTGAGGGATCTCTAAATGAAAGGGCAAGATACTTGTCTGGGCAAGATATGGTTGGTGATGCAATATTAGCATGCATCGGATATACGCGGAAATCTAGAGATCTTTTCTATGAGGATGTAACAGTTCAATTGTATCACAGGTCTCTTTAACTTTAAATTTAAATGTTTTGTTGTCATTTTAGTAGTTCAATGGTCAACTTTATATCACATTCTTGGCTAAACTTAAAACTTGATGAAAAGAAGTGTTAAATAGACTTGAATCTCATCCCAAAAGCTAGCGCAAATGATGAAGGGGCCCAAACACATTTAAACATCCAACAATCTGGGAACTTGAGCAATGTGACTCCAATACAACTTCAATACCCACCTCACACCTTGTATGGGTCTTTAGTCTAATTCTCACATTGCAATCCTTAACGCGACTTTGATACCATATTAAATGATTTTGGATCTCATCCCAAAAATTAGTTTAAAGGATGAAGGTGCCCAAACTCATTTATACATCCAACCGCCTAGGAACCTGGATAGTGCGGGGGCTCCAATACAACTACAATAAGAAAGTTTTATTATGTCATGCACTTTTGCTTTATTATAGTGGCCAACTTAAGTATTTTTATTTTGGTAGACCAACCCTGTGAAAATTTTTGTTGGTTTTGATAGTTATGAGTAGATTTCCTATTTGTTTTTCATCACTTAACTTAGAAATTATGTCCTTAAAAAGACTGTATTCTAAAAGTGCCAATAATTTGTCTACCTCTATTGGAATTTTCTATCCCAACAAACTTATTTGCTGGTCAACCTATCTAATAAATAATTCTCCAGGTTTTTATTAGGCATCCCATGGTTGCTAAGAAAGATAAAAGCACCTTTTTACTCCCTCCGTCCCAAATTATTAGACGTTTTGGCCATTTCATACGAATTAAGAAATACAATTATTATTTTATGGGAAAGTGAAATGATGTATGATTTTACAAAAATGTTCTTCAATAATTATATTGGAAAGCGAAATTAAAGGAATTGAAAGAAGAAAGAGAAATAAATAGTAGATGGTATATTAGGCAAAAAGTCATTAATGTTGTTGTTAAGAGTTCCACATCGGACAATATATGACCTGAACATGAGTTTATAAGTGGGAGTAATCCTCACCTTACAAGTCGGTTTTGTAGGGTCGAGTTAGGCCCAATCACACATTCTAAGATGGTATCAGAGCCTCATCTAAGATCCATTGGGCCACCCACCATTTAGTTCCACGCTCCAGCCCTAATTCCTGGGCGTGAGAGGGGGTGTTAAGAGTCCCACATCGGATAATATATGGCCCCCTAATTCCTGGGCGTGAGAGGGGGTGTTAAGAGTCCCACATCGGATAATATATGGCCTGAACATGAGTTTATAAGTGGGAGTAATCCTCACCTTACAAGCTGGTTTTGTAGGGTCGAGTTAGGCCCGATCACACATTCTAAGAGTTGTATTAGGATAATAAAGTGACTTATAATTTGAGACAAATATTTTTGGCAAAGTGACTTATAATTTGAGAGAGAGGGAGTATATTGCTGCAATCTGAATGTTCATAGTAATAGTAGAAAATTTTAATATTTTACTCGAAAGATTTTCTGATCTTCCAACATTTTTTCTCTCTTCTGCTTGATGCTTTCTTGGAATGACGTATACTATTTTTGTCACATGTATTTTTGTATCCGTTGAATTTTTTAGATGAACATGTCTTTTTTGTTGGTTCGAATTATTTGTCAGTTTCTGTTTGTGTAAATTACTCAACTTTGCGTCATTTACTGATTGCTAGGTTTTCTATGCAGGATGCTTCTAGGGAAGACTCCAGGGGGCATTTACAAATTATCCAGAGAGGCAATACTCACAGCTGAGCTTCCTTCAAGATTTACCACAAGAGTTAACTGGAGGGGTTCCCTTCCCAGGGATATACTTAGTATGTTTTGCCGCCAGCATCGTCTGTCCGAACCTGTCTTTTCCATTATAAGTCATCCTTTCAAAATGCCAACGGAATCATCAGAATCAAGTTTTAAGGCTGCAAACTTGGGAACTGATGTGATTGAATGTGCCAATGGGGCCTCTGTAAATGCATGTCAAAAGAAATCAAATTCTGAGATGTTTAAATGTGAAATAAAGTTGCTTTCTAGGTGTAAGGATGTAATACTTTTGTGTTCCCCTGAGGATTGTTATAAGAAGCAGAATGATGCTATTCAGAATGCCTCATTGAAACTTCTGTCATGGCTGAACAAGTATTTTAATAGTGTAACTGTTCCTTCTGACCAACTTTATGAGATTGCAGGCAACTTCAGCATTCACATGTTTTCCAAAAACCTTTTCGGAGAGATTTTAACTGGTCAACCCATTCGGTATAGCCAGATTTATGCAATGCAGTGCAATAACATACTTGAACCAATGTGTACAACTTCATCACAGGACATGTCTAAGAATGGGGTTTGCAACTTAAGGATTGAAGGTCCAGACTCTGGTGTCTGTCCATGCAATGGATCTTTACCTTGTATTAGTTATTCAGTATATTTGGTTGTGGATGGTGAAAATACCAAAGAAGTTATTGAAGTTTGTAATGAGTTTGAGTTTGAAATGGGGGTTGGTGCTGTCATTTCTTACATCGAGGAGGTTGTGATGCAGATGTCTGTTGGTCAATATGCTTATTTCAAAACGAACTTGCTCACTTCTGATTTGATTTTTGCTTCTGCTGGTGATTCAGCCAAAATGCTTTCCTTGTTATCTTCTAGTGAGTTACTTTCTCCTGTTACTCCCCCGCACCCCAAACACACACATGTACGCTGTTAAGCAAGCGGCTAAATTATTGATTCTAAATTTTTCAGAGGCCTGCTGTGTTGAGTATGAAATAAGTTTGAACAAAGTTGCAGAACCTCCAGAGGAAAGAATGGAGCAGGCTTTTTTTAGCCCTCCACTTTCAAAGCAACGAGTGGAATTTGCAGTGCAACACATTTTGGAATCCCATGCTACTACTTTGGTATGCTAAACTTTCTCAACTTCTATTTTCTTTTGTTAATCGAGTTGTGAATTTGAGGTTCTCTTTCATCACAGGTTGATTTTGGATGCGGATCTGGAAGCTTGTTGGAACCATTGCTAAATTACACAACTTCGTTGGAGAAAATTGCTGGTGTTGATATTTCACCGAAGGGTCTTACACGTGCTGCAAAGGTTTACATGCATTTTCCTATTCCAAAGTTTGCATTTTAGTTGTTTTAAGCCTAAGGTTCATGTTTAGATGTGCAAGAAAAAAGTATCTATTCTTCTGTAGTTTGGAATGTATAATACCGGGAACACTGTCTAAACAAAGATTGATCCTAAATATGCTAAAGTAGTGACTGTAGTTTGGTAATGAAATGTCTTGGACTAAATTGTTAAATGTTCCTTACTTGAAAGCATGGGGTCGTTATTGTCGTTATAACAAGGTAGTATATTTTTCAGAGGATGACCAAGTGTTGATAGAGATTTTGATGCAAATGAAATATAGGTTGGTTGTTTAGGATTCCATAAATAATACTTTTAGTTTTCCTGAATTTTATTACAAGAGCCATGGTGATATGGAACCAGAAGTCTATGTTGAGAGTTTGATATCACCTTTGTAGATGTGCGACATGATCTCATTTACAGACTCAACTGCAGCCGATAAGTTAACTAATGGTCTTGTTTTTTTATTTTAATTTTATGCTTAGTATGATTAGTAGTGACTTGATGTCATGGGTTACTTTTAATATGGAACATGTCACTTGAGAATTTGTTGTTATTTTTCATTTATTTGTTAGTTAGAGCGGGTTTCTTTTATCACCGTTCATTACATTTTATATAGATAACAATCATTTCAGCAATGTTTATAAATTTCTCTTAATGTTTTTTCTACAATTCGCAATGTATATAAATTTCTCTTAATATTTATTCTACTATTCGCAGTATTTAGTTTTCTGTCAACCTAGATGTTGAAAAAACAGAGAATAATTCATTGGATAAACACGGGGGTGGCTAATCTGAATTCCAAATAATTAATCAATTCAACACTGTTTACGGTACCTACTGTTAGTGTAGGCTTACACAATCGGACAAATATATATTAGGTCATTATAGTTTAGAAAAATCAGGCAGAAATCTTTTAAAGTTACATAAAAGTTTTGAGCATTTATTATGAATGCAACCTATAAGGTGTACCATGTCACTGCCTTTCTGTATTTTAATTATATTATCTATTCATAAATATAGTCCTAAGCTTTTAAGCATTTTGAAAAGTTTATCATATCAATCATGTAATATGTAACTTTTATTTGTGCATAATTGTTAGGAACCCAAGAATTTAATTGATAATAATTAATGAAAGAACACTGAGTTGGGAAAATAAGAAAGAATTGAACAGAAAACCCTCTTTCAAGGGTTTCTCACTCTACAATAGAGCCACTGCTCTATTTACTAGATGTTAACAAGTCCGAATCCTTCCCTTCTGTAACAAAACCTCCCTATTTATACATGACAATTGTAACTACCCCTTTACTGACTTGGGTTCTGCTTGGCGTGGAAATATTGTTTGTGTAAAGATTATGTTGGATGTGTAGTTGATACAGGCAGTCTTTAATCTGATCTTGAAGGTCTTGGTCTTAAAGGACCTCCTAGTAACTGAAATCATAATTTTGTTCTTATACATATATGTGAAATTTCTGTATGTAAGCTGCTTGATTTTGTGTGCTTGAAATTGTGCAGGTGCTAAATTCAAAATTAGATGCAAATCTAGATGCTGGTGTGACAAGTATACCCATAAAATCAGTTATTCTTTATGAAGGTTCAATTACAAATTTTGATTCCAGGTTGCATGGGTTTGATATTGGTACTTGTTTAGAGGTATTTCTTAATTCATTTTATATTCCTATTATTGTTGACTTCATTTTTGATATGGTGTGTCCTAAATCAAGATATATTACATCTTTATTCCTTGTATTAAATCATCTATAATTTATGGTTTGTTTGATGCTGAATTTATAATATGTTTATCATCTGATAATTAAGTTCACTATCTCTAACTTGAGTTAGATATCTTAAATTACACTGTCAGATGACTTTTAAAGTGAGCAATTGATTTTCGATATTTTAAAAATTAACATATGGTACCACATGCATGTACATAATCATGAATCTGTTACAATATGAATCAGCAATTTTCTGATCTAACACCTGAGACGATTTCCTTTACCCTCTAAAATGTGATCTCACTTTAGAGGAGATAAAATCCCATGCTTTTAATCATTCATTTAAACACGTCATAGTTTTAGCAGCCGTTTAAACCCCATGCTGCTGACACAGTTTTGTTCTTTAGCCCGTGAATACGCACGTCTACATTTTTTCCATTTGGAATAGTATATGAATACCTCTGCAACAATTCACTGGAATATACTTATACTAGCATTTGAATTGATTGCCTATCATGCAACCACTCATGTTCTTGAGGTGACAATGTTTGTTCAATGTTTAAACCTATAAATCTGCATCTGTGTAGAAACTATGCTTATCATGGAACTGATTCAACCAATATAAATTGCTGATACAATGCAGGTGATTGAGCATATGGAGGAAGATCAAGCTTGTCTCTTTGGGGATGTGGCATTAAGTTGTTTTCGTCCAAGGATTCTCATTGTTTCTACACCAAATTTTGAATACAACGTAGTGCTACAGAAGTCGAATCCTCCTACCCAAGAACAAGAAGAATCAGACGGGCAAAACCTCTTACAGTCATGCAAGTTTCGCAATAATGACCACAAATTTGAGTGGACCAGAGAACAGTTTACACAGTGGGCATCTGAATTGGCTGCACGTCACAATTACAATGTGGAATTCAGCGGGGTAGGTGGTTCTGCTGATGCCGAACCAGGTTTTGCTTCACAGATTGCCATGTTTAAAAAGGAACGTCATGAAGATGATGGCCAGAAGCATACTGATATAGAGAACCATTATAATGTAATATGGGAATGGAATAGCAAAAGCAAATAACTTTATTTTTTCTTTAAATGAAGCTAACAGAATGAGACTTGTACAGTGCTGATTGCTGGGCTTGCATGTAGACAAGCAAAAGTATAATGGATGCTAGGAGATATTAGAAAGAAGTATTGATAGGTTAAGTTAAGGCCAGGATTTGGTTGGATCATGTTTTGTGACTTATGATCTGTGACCTTTCATATTTTGTGAAGTTGAATGGCTAAACAGTTAGGGTCTTCTAGAGTGAGATGAAGTTTTAAAGAATAGCAGTACAGTTTTTGGAATAGACATGCTGGTTTTATATGGTAGAATCCCTATACACATATAAACAATGTCTTGGTTATAGGAGATCATGTTTTAGTTTTTTCCCCATCAATTCATACGGCGTATTCATTAGTTCTAATCCAAAAGTAAAAAAGTGTTGCTCTTTTTTCTTATATTTAATGTGGTTTAAGCTTTTATGCGCTTTTTAAGAATTGAGTGTGCTATTTTCTCTTTTAAATTTAGCTCCATTACATCTAAGGATGTAGATTCTAGCGGAAGAAAACAAAAACCACAACATGGTGATTATTGCAGGAAGAAATATTTATGTTTAGTGATCGATATATTTCGAGAATTTAACCTAGATTTTATCTGCAACCTCCATATATTTTATTAATTTCCAAAATGTCCGTGGATAAATTTGAATTTATTTTTTTTAATAGTTCATTATAAAATTTTGATAACATACCAAATTCTTGGTAGGGCAATTTAAATTTTTCGATATTAAATAATGTTGATTTTTAAAAAAAATCTAATATCTTTAAACTAATATGACTAACTTCGTACCTTACACGAGACGCAGATTTCCAGTGATAAAAACAACCTTTCGGAAGGATTCTACACATGAGGACAAGAAGACGCATTATAAGGCCAGAGCCTGATGTCCCCTCGCCGAGAGGCATCATATGGTTTTGGTATGTGAGCAGCGCTCGTAAAGTAAAGTCTACAGTCAAGGCAAGCCCTGCTGAGCAGCCCAACCCTCTTAGAGCAAAGGATAGGGCTCGACCGCCCAGAGAGAACCGCTTCGCCCCTATTCATTCTCTAAAGTAAAGGTATCGACAGAAAGAAGTCCCTAGCTTCAGAAGTGGCAGCAGTGCTCTCGTATATAAGAGAAAGGCTGCTTTTAGTAGTGATCCTTCCCTCTAACCGCCATGTCGTACTGAAAATTTCAAGAAAAATGAAATTTTAGATAGTTTAAACTTGTAATGGTTATGATCTTATTGACAGTTTTGTATTTGTGTGTTTCAGAATGAATTCAAAGTTGTATAGATACATGTCACGTGTTCTTAAGAAAAACATCTTATAATGTCTCAATTTTTATTTAAGGAAAAAGTGTACTTCAATGGGTGAAACTTGCCGTAGAGTTTCAGTTTTCGAGGGACATCGCATGTTTGCAATCTTTATATCCAAGTTGAATGATATATTGCCCAACGTCGAGAACAGAAAGGTGAGTAAGATCGAATTTTGTGTATAATGGATTAATGTTGATGGAAGTGTGAAATACGACCTTATAGAGTTGAAGGCCGATGAAGATTTGAAGGTTACGTGGAGAATATTTTACCGTAACTAAGAGACCGATCGAGTTTGATGTGGCAATTTTAAGATCTATCAACGACATAATAAAGTAATTCAAACGCCTAGAATCATCTGGTAGTGTCTAGGTTTTGTTGTTTATTATTGTCAATTTATGTTAGTTGTAATGTGTTAAGTTATGTTCATCTTTCAAACATGTAATCAATAAAATATCATGTAATAAAAATTACGGTGTTTAATATTCCGAGTCACAAAATATACAAACAATACAAATGTAAAATCAAATATTTAAATAGGTTTCCCACATGCTATGTGTGCTTTCTGGGATAATCCAGTAAAAACCTCACCATTAGAGTTTACCAAACACATGGGATTATCCATAATAACAACGATCATCTGCAGGTGCTGGTGGTTATCAACACCATGTGGAGGCGACGACACGTCATCAACACGTCCTCCAGCATCGAAAGCACAACATCATATGTATGCTCAACAAGTGGGATGTTGCGAAGGTGAGATACAATAAGGTATAACTCTAGATAGCCATCCTTACACTGTGCAAGGTACTGATCCTCCACGATACTATCTCAAATGACACAGGCAGAATTGATGATGTTATTCTGAAACCACCTGTCAATGCCTGAAGCTAGAACAGTATGAACTGATCGTGGGATGTCCTGAACATATCCATAATGGTGCAGACACCTCTTAAGTAAGTGTCTAGCCATTAAAGTCTTCAACCGCATATAGCCAGAAAACTGAGAAGACTCACCGAACTCACGATGGCCTCTGTGATTTGTGTAAGGTGTCCAAATGACATCCTCTATTGTCAGTGCATCAAGCCTCCTCATGTACTCCACAACACTGCCTGGATGTGCTTGTATAGCTTTCTATCTCTTTGCCCGTAGGTAGTCAGCAAGAGTATGTTATATCCTCCTGTCACAAATGGTGGGAAAATACTCGTATATCCGACACTGATAAAAGAACATAGACAAATCAAGAAATGCCATACATAATAATTAAATAAGAACTAAATTACGAATAATAATTTTTAATATACCTGGAATAGACTTAAATAGCTAGCAAGCTGTCTGGTATCTAAGGCAATCACTACTCCAAGTGCTGCATATACGACATTCAATGCTGCACACCCCTAAGTATCGAGCATAAATGTAAACATGAAACTTATCCGCAAAGATAGTACATTCTGCTAGATGTAACATGTATACCCTTACGACTTCCTCATATATCTCTTGCTCTACAAGCTCGATATACCTGTCCCGAAGTCAAGACATCCGAAAATGAGCTCCCTTATTAAAATAAAACTCCTTTAGCACGACCTCATCAGTAACTTTGAAATCCCGTGTAGCCACGATACATGCAAGGCTCTGGTTAATAACAGGGCCGATGAAGAATCTAAGGATTATGGAGAGATGGAACAAGGATGAGACATCATTTAAAGTGATAACCATCTCCCTAAATGAAAGATGAAAGGAAGATGTATCCTTGTGCCATCACTCAACAAAGACAATCAAAAGTAAAGCGTCAAGCATGGTGAGTGAGCAGACGATCAATAATAGAAGACTAAAATTAGTAACAACCTGCCTGACCTGCTCATGCATTGGAACCTTACAGAAACTTTTCATCTTTGACCCATAGGATGTCACCTTCAGCGTGGGACGATCTTGTAACAAACAAAATTATAAAAAATCATCAATTAGTTTCAACACATCAAATATTAATAATAAATAAATTAAAATTAAACTATATATATATATATATATATATATATATATATATATATATATATATATATATATATATATATATATATATATATATATATATATATATATATATATATATATATATATATATATATATATATATATATATATATATATATATATATATATATATATATATATATATATATATATATATATATATATTATGTCATAATCGATATGCCACATGGTCGTCATATTCTGTAAGCACTGATCGATCATTGGGCCTTATAGGGAACTCTTCGTCAGTGTACACAGATGACTCAATTGAAGTATGAGTCGTAACCTCTGTATCACCAGTAGCAGTAGCCTTTACGTCACATGTCTAGGCCTCAACATGAATATGGGCAACATCTGTCTCGACCTCAGCATCAATATGGGCCGCATCTGTCTCGGCCTTAGCAGCAATAGGGCCGCATCTGTCTCAATCAACTCAGCAGCAATACAGGTCACATCTATCTCAGCCACCTCACATGGGTAAGAACAACCTGACCATGCACCTCCTCATCATGATCAACCTCAACAACATACTCATCTGCATCATCTTTGGGATGCTCATAACCTCTAACAGTTTGACGTCGGGTGCTACAGGGTGCATGGAAGAAATGTGTTGCCAACCGTTTTCGATGAGAAATGGTTGAAGCTACTCTCCCTGTCCGTAGCTGCGAAGAATCTGCCTCAGATACCCTAGCACGAAACAACACCGCATATCTATCTGTGATCCTGGAAGCAATAGTTTCGTCCTTTCCCCTAGTCCTCACTATAAAATAGAAAGAATTCAAAAAATCAATTAAATACCAACATTTTCAAAATTTCAAGTATCCTATAACTATTATTGACAATTTCAAAATTTTCAAAATTTTCTTAAAAAATGAACTATCGGTATTTTCAAAAATTCACGTATATGTGTTTGAGTGATAATACCGATAATATTGAAATCCCTAGTAAAATCTCATTTATTTACACTGATATTTTTAATATTCACATAACATATATGATCTTACCGGATCAGACTTGGACCGTCACAGCTGTCTCGAACTAGTGTTGAGTGAGATGGGGAGGGGGGGTACTTGTAAGACACTCCGATGCTGAAATGAGAGACGAAATGGGCAGGCAAAAAGTATATAGGCGTGTAATAGATGAATACCTGACCCTCTTGGAATAAAGGGTATTTATAGCCCCCAGCGCTGGGTCAAGGTCCCCTCATTGGGCTGACCAGAACTGGCCCAATAAAGGAACTGCCGGGTTCTACGTGTGTAGTGGGGACCCGCATGTGGTCCCCTTCCTGGGTGGTGTGCGAAGAATGAGGAAGGACGAAGACGCGGTCTTTCCGGAGCTTTGAGGATTCTATAACGGTTATAGTGGACAGAATCTTCCCTACAGGGAGAGTGCTCGAGCTAGACTCGAGCTCGAAGTCCCCTGGTCGGGAGGCTGTTCGTCGAGGGCAACAGCGGGTGTTGCAGATGTAGTCTGTGGTCGGGGACGTTCGATGATGGTCTGATTGTGAGCATTCCCCGAGGAGCTGCTTGGATCTGGGCATTTATTTGCACTTTGAGCCAAGGTGAGTCCAGTCCAGAATAGGAGCCCCCCAAGTCGTTGCTCCTGGTGCAGGAGTTATGACTTGATCTCAGCTTGCTTTTACCGCGGGGACCT